CTGTAGGTTCATATTGGGCCAGCTGCACACCAGCACTCCCAAGTCCAAGTCTGATAAACATCGCTCAAACCACTCCTTTCCCGGCCTATAGCTCTGCATGGAGTCATTGTGTCCCAAGTGAAGGACTCAGCACTGAGCCTTATTTGAACATCATGTAATTGTCCTCAGCACACTGATCAAGTCGGTCCAGGTCGCTGTAGAGCTTTCTACCCTCAGGCAGATGGACACTTGCACCACACTTAGTGTTGTGTGCAAATTTACTGAGGGTGCAGTCATCCCCGGTGTCCAGATTATCAATAATCTTTATTGATGTTAGATAGGACTGGCCCCAAGACTGAGCCCTGGGGAGCACCACTAGTGACTGATGGCCAATTGGATTTAGCTCCATTCACCACAGCTCTCCACACCTGGCTATCCAGCCAGTTTTTTTACCCATTGAGTCAACCCATTCAAGCCATGAGCAGCCAGTTTTCTAGAAGTATGCTGTGGGAGATGGTGTCAAATGCCTTGCTGAAGTCCAGATAGGCCACATCCTTTCCCTCATCTACTAAATGGGTCACTTTGTGGAGGAGATCAGGTTGGTCACGCAGGACCTTCCTTATACAAATCTGTGTTGGTTGGGCTTGATGCCCTGGTTGCCCTGCATGTGCCGTGTGATGGCAATCAGGATGATCTCCACGACCTTGCCTGGAACCGAGGTTACACCTACAGGTCCTCCTTCTGATAAATGTGTCACATTTGCTAATTCCAGTCAGCCAAAACTTATCCAGTTATCCAGGACTGCTGGTAGATGATTGCAAGTGGTTTAGTGTGTTCTTTTGACAGTTCCCTCATTTCCCTGGGTGGATTTCATCAGGCCCCATGGATTTGTGGGCATCCAATTGGCATAGCAGGACATTAATCATCTCTTCCGGGATTATGGGGGCTTAATTCATCTCCCTGTCACCAACTTCCAGCTCTAGGAGCTGAATATCCTGAGGACAACCCATCTTGACATTAAAGACAGGGGCAAAGAAGGCATTGAGTACCTTTGCCTTATTCACACCCCCTGTCACTACACTACCCTCTGCATTTATCAGCTGATGAACACCCTCCTTTTGCTCCCAATGTATTTATAAAAGCATTTTTTGTTGTCCTTAGCTTTTTTTAGCCTCCTCTGCAAAAATGGGCATGGGAGAAGAAACCTCCAGAACAGTTTTTGACTTATCGCACACATACTTTTTTAGGTCGGTTTGGCATGCCACACACCATGGTTCACAGTTAGTTATGAGGGGTCACAAAAAAAAGATGTTAGCTTTGAGGGAGAAAAATATATTGAGTTACGCTGTCACATTTTGTGCATCTGCTCCCTTTTGAAAGTGGAGATACTGGTGTATGGGCACTGCTTGGATTTACAGGTGCAAAAAAAGTTTGCACTGGGATATATATATTTACCCGAGAAAAGCTTTTGGTGGATTCCAGGCAAACCTGCTGAAGTTAATGCTGAACTCCTGACACAAGGAAGGAAATTTGTATTTGACTTCTGACTACACTTAATGTGTCTGGAGTAAAACAGAACTGTGTCAAAAGCTGGTATAAAAGGAGAGAAAATGCTAGTGACTGTGTTATAATGGTCTTACAAACTTTATCTGATGCCACTGTGAAGTGGGCATTACCTCTGTAATATGAAAAATGTATATTAGATCCAGAAAGACTTTGTAAAAAAATTAGGAATTTTATTACTCTTTTGTTAATTGTTGCAGGCTGTGCGAGTCCTTTTTGTACTGTACTTTGTTCTTGTTGCAATCTGACAAACATGTTTTGAAAAAATAAATATTTTTCCTAAATAAAGTTTGATTTCCCTTTAAAACAAAACAACAACCAAGAAAATAGCCCAAAGGCTTTTCCCCAGCCCTCTAAGGTGGCACTTTGTAAGACTAATGGTTATTTTGAACTGACACATTAAAAAAACAGTTTTGAGTGTTGCCAGAGTGGGAAGAAGGGAAAGGGCAAAGCCATTCTTAAAATTTACTAGCTTGCCAAAATTTGATTTGCAGCTAAGGAAACATTAAACAGAAGAATGCAAAAAAAATTGATGGTATTTTTAAATTTTAAGTTACATTAGAAAAAATACATGGACAAGAAAGAATTTACCTTGCTGCCTTCTGTCACCTGTGCAATGAAAAAGCTAGAATATTTCCAAATTAAAATTACACTAAATACAGGCAGCCACTGGTCCAAAAGGTGAAATGCTGCAAGCTAAGATTTATAGCCACTAGAATAAAAATATAAATCTTACACTAATTAAAGATACAAGTTTGTGGCACAGCACAGATTTCCAAAATTGGCCTAAATGAAAATTTGGAAGTATTGTCACAACATCAAAAATCAAAAGTTTTATTATCTTTAAACTTTGAAGCTCTTCCAGTTTCACCAAACATAGAAAAGACAATGCGTTGGCTCAGGAAGCAGATTCTTCAGCAATAACTATGTCATAAAATTACCTGTGCTTAACCTTAGTGTTCAAGTTGGACTGCTCACCCTTAGCCCTGCTGCAAATTGCATAGCTGTCCAGCACAACGCTTGTTGTTGAGCCTTCTCCAGGCTGAACAACTCTGTCAACCTGTCCTCACTGGAGAAGTGGTACTCCAGCCCTCTGATCATATTCATGGCCTTCCTCTGGACTCTCTCCAACAGGTCCATGTCTTTCTTATGCTGGGGACCCCAGAGCTGGATGCAGAACTCCAGGTGGTGTCTCACAGAGTGGAACAGAGGAGCAGAATTACCTCCCTGGACCTGCTGGCCACACTTCTTGTGATTCAGCCCAGGATATGGTTGGCTTTCTGAGCTGTGAGTGCACATTGCTGAGACATATAAATAATACCCTGATAATAACCCCTGATAACACCCTACTGCTGTGATTGCAAACTTATCAGCTTACAGAGAACTTTAAGGTTGGATAAAAAGGAGGACAAGGTATGGGAGGAAACTAACAGAAGTATTTTGTAATGTGAATTTTAATTGTGAAAATTTTAACAGACTTGGAGAGTGTGAAGAATGTACAGAAAATTAATTTGGGGAGAACTAATTAGAATACCTCATGAAATGGTATCTCTCCCTTTAAATTTGCATAATGGGAAACACTGCCACAGCGATGACGTGAAAAGTATTTGTAAAATACGCCTTTACCTTGTACCTGCTTCCAGTTTTGTCATATCTGTTGTGAAACTTTATTCTATGATGCTATGATGGCAGTTTGACTGCATCTTCTGTGGTTATGTCAGAAAACTCATGTTAACTTGCTGTAGGACAGGTTCTGGAGTAGAAGAGATTACGTTGGAAGTGAAATTGCTTCAGTCCAAGCCAGTGCACTTTACCAAAGGCATATGAGTAGAAGCCAGTGCAATAACTGTCTGGGGAAGCACACAGTAGCTAAGTTAGCTAGGCCAAAACAGTAAGTACATGGCTGCCTTGGGTAATGTTACTGCCAGAGCATAGATATTCTCTCTCTTCTCCTTCCCCATGGGTGACATTATGAGTCAAATGGATTTTGTTTCAAGACACTGAGGCATAATTCTGCTGCTTGCAAGCTCTGACATTCATTTCCCCATTTTTCAATCATACTCTTGAGACAGTAACAGGAGGGAAAAAAAAGAAGAAAAGTACCAGTTTTCAGGAGGAATAATTTTGCCTATGAGTTTATTTCTTTTTTATTTTATTTTGTGTGTCTGATGAAAACATTTCTATTTAGTCTGGCTCCTAGGGGATCTCTAGTAAG